TGAGGGACACCACTCGTCACTGGCCTCACATTTGCAGAGATGGGGCAGTCACAACTTCTCAGGACAACCTGTGCCAGTGCCCCAACTCCCTCAGAGCCAACAGTTTCTTCCCAATATCCAATCTAACCCTGACAGAGTGATGCCACTGCCCTTTGCTCTGTCACTATCTGCCCATATAAAAAGTCTCTCTCCTTTTTATAAGCCCCCTTTAGGCACTGAAAGGATCTCTAAGGTCTCCCCAGAGCCTCCTCTTCTCAGGTTGAGCCCCCGCAGCACTCTCAGCATGTCTCCATAGCAGAAGTGCTCCATCCCTCGGTGCATCTTTGTGGCTTCCTCTGGAGTTATGCCCTAACTTGCATTTTAGCCAAAAGTATTCCCAGATCTGCTCCAAAAAGAGAGAGCCTTGCCCTACAAAAGTAACCCACAGTATGAGACAAGTTGGGCTGCACAGCAGCAATCCTGCATCTCAGGCTTCTCTGAATGAGAATGAGTAGGAATGAAGGTAATTGTTAGGAAATTGCAATGCCACTGCATCTTAAATTTTTCTTTTTATACTCCTTTTCTTTTTTAATACACATAGATTCACTACTGTAATAGCAGAAGAATAGTTTTGAGGTCAAAGTACTATATAAGCAACCTGGCATTTTATATTCTTTCTCCTGTTCCACCACAGAATCCCAATGCCATTCTGAGAAAGTCACCAGGATTATTATTTTATGAAGTGGCTACTGGTTTTGTTAAGCCTCACTTTATTATTTGAGTAGTTGGTTACTAGTTCATTACTTTTAATTCATCTCCCTTTTAAAGACTTGAACAGGAAAAAAATGAAATTTGTTCCTAAGTAATAGGTTTTATTTATTGCAGTGCAAACCTTTATACAGCTGGCCTTTAAAAGCACAAGGCTGTCTGCAAATCTCCTTTGCATGCAGAAGAACACTGAGCTGTCTTTCTGTCCTTAGGGTCTTAGAGCCTTATTTTCTTGGAAAACATGAGAAAAATGAGCATATCAATTTGCATCACTGGAGACTATTCCCTTCTCTTCCCATCTGAGAGAAGTGCCCCATACTGAAGCAGACAGCAGTAATTTGAGAAGACTCCATTCCATAAGGAATTCACACCCTGAACAAACTGGGTTTGACTTCATCAGCCCTGCTCTGACTTCAGATAGCATAAGATTAACTGCAAAATAATGAAACAATCCAAACTCATTTCTAAAACTCACACATGTACACAAGATGGAAAAAAATTTATTCCTCTTTTGTCCTGTCCAAATACTCCTCTTTAAATGAGCCTTTTAATCAATACAAAGCAATAAAGTGATGCTTGAGCAGTAAAGATCGATATTAAATAAGAAGTAGGCTTTACTTTGCTGTAGGCATCTCCAGCAAATCATCAGTTGGAAGCATAGCTGAGACTAGTCTCTAATCTTTTGTGCCTCTTTTGCAAAATACAAAATGATAGAGGCAGTTAAAAACACCAAATCAAACAGAAATTTCCTGGTTTTGTTTCCTGAGATCCCCCAAATTGTTTTTAAGATCTGTTGAACTCCAAATTACGGCTCTACACAAGTAAGTGAAAGAAGAATATATTTTGCTTCATCTCCATCTCCTGCAGCAAGAGAAACTGATGAAGAGAGAATGAATTTGGGAACAGGTTAATATGATGTTATAAACCTGGTGAACACACTGCAATTTTCCCCTTGCTTCATCTATTGAAACTACTGATGTTTCAGATTCCAGCAAACCTGAAATAAATATCATGAAATAAAGATATAAACATAACAGTCAGTTTAAGATTTATACCTGTGGATTAATGCAACCTCTATTATGGAAAATAGTGTGAAAACTCAATAAAAAAAGTCTTATTCTTTGTTTTTAAGGAATCACACTGGGGATTTATTTTATGATTCATGACATATAACACGAACATAGGTTGGAACCATTTCAACTTGTAAAAAAATTTGGTTTAAGATATCCTTTCAATTACAAACCCAAACTAAACTCAAAACAGACAGAGGGTGTAAGGTCCTCTATGAAGTGTGTTGGTGTTGCAGCCAGGAAGGGAAGGGAAGGGCATGAAGCAGTACCAAGCAGTATCAAAAGGGTAAGCCAGAGCAGGACTGTCTGTATTTTTGCCTTTCACAAATCATCAGCACTGTTATGAATAGGAATTGCTTAGTACTGTGAATGTAAATGAACTCACTCATTGATGTGCACTGGTTTACTCTTTGTATACAGTTGTGTAAACACTGCAGGAAATACTTGGTAAGATCTTTCAAAAGGTTAGACCTGGGTATTCAAAAATCACATTGTCTGCAGTGAAATAATGGTCTCTCTGTCTGAGGACACGGGGGGAAAAAAAGCATTATGCTTTGAAGCATTGCAAACTACAAGAGACAGTAAATCTTCAAGCAAATAAGAATGATGGGAAGAAGTGCATGTATTATATCCAGCATGCACTGATGCTGATGCCTTTTCTTTACCAAGCATGGTCTAGGAAATGGAAGATATAAAGACATCCTAAAGAGGCTTTCAACTTTACCTGGAAGGACAAGCCTTCATATCCATGTATTGGTACAAATCAGCTCCATTATAAAACTGCACCAGCCTTTACATGGCGTTAGGCCACAGGGACACCTAAGAGTTGTTACTCCCTGGAGGTCAGTAAGAAAATATGTGATCCAATACACAGTAAGTCTGTTGGAAATCAGAGTTTTGACGCGCATTCTTCAAGTGAAAGAGCTGAAATTTTCCCAAAAAGAGAAGTTCCCACTTCACTCCATTTTCTCTTCTTAATGCTCTTAAGAAAACCTAAGATGAGACTGAGCATCTTTGATCTTACCTCCACAATGAACTGATTCACTGAGTTCCTTTCAAAATACATCCTTTGCTCCCTCTTGTTGAGGCACAGGGATTTTTGCTGAGTGCAGATCCCATCAGTTCCATAGAGAACAATGAAGACATCTGCATCTGTGCCAGCTCCGAAGATGTCACTGGTGTAGACCGTGATCTCATAAGGAACAACTGGGTTAAGCAATTCCAGAAAATGGAAAAAAACAACAGAAGTTAGCATAATAAGAAAAGTTTAATGAAACTAAAAAATAATTATAAAACTCAACAATGAAATAGGACAGGGTAGAAATCACATATTTCTGGTCATTTAGTTATAAAGTTGGTCAGTCCTATAAAAATCCAGAGTAATTTCCTTTAACACTATAAGGCAAATTGACTTTGTTGTGTGTTCATTTAAGGAGATTTTAGGTTAATCACATGATCAGAGAACATTCAGTATATTTAATCCTGCCATCTAAAGTTACTGATATGTGATTTACTTCAGCAGCTCAAGTGTTAAAGCAAAACATGGATTTGCAGATTTTTGAGCGACTAGGCAAATGGATGAAGGTAAGAAAAGTGAAGGTAGTATATAAATATTCTAGACAGCATTATTGATAAAAGGCATCCTAATATTTCTATCATTAAACACATGGCAAAAATAAATTATAAGGAAAAAGATAATTCTTCTGTTGTCCACTCTGATCAAGTATTCTCTTAATACCACTTTCTCCAAAACACTGAGTCAAACAGGTTAAATTACAACCAGACCAGTAGTGAATGCAGAACAGTAAGGATCAAGACCATAAATACCTTCCTATTCTACTCCCATGGTTTCTCTAGAATGTCCCATGACCTCAGAATCTGATGCCTCCTTTTGTTCTATTATATCTTCACAGCTTCTCT